AACAATTATTGATTCATATTAAAAATATATAATAGCGAGACTTTGTATTGTCTTGAATTTTAAGAATCTTTTTATAAAGATTTTATATTAATATTATTAATTTATATAGTCTTTATTTTGATGAGCTTATAAAAATAACAAAACATCTTAAAGTCTTGCTATTGATGATTCTGTACAACTATAAAGCCGTTTTTTAAATTTAGATTATGTATAACTAACGATACCTTATATGGTCTTGTTATTGATGTAGTATTTTAAATGATCTTGTTATTGATGAACTTAATAATAAGACTGTTTAGAATTCGGAGCAAAATCAACTGGTCACTATGTAACAGTATTACTGTGTAACAGTTGAAGTGTTTAACAGTAACACTTCTGATAATTTTAAAGCTTTTAAAGCTTATTGTTTATTGAAAAAAAGAAGTTGGCTACCTTATCGTTAGATACTGTTATCCATTTCTTTTTAGTTAAATTAGCTACTGTACCTTTTTTACATCAACTAATTTGGGTACTGTATCTATAGATAGTCGAGACAAACTGTTTTCAATTAAAAAAATAAACTTTACTTTCTTTATGCATCTTTTATATTGATGATTGTTTCGCCTTAAATTCTTATCCGATTGAAATATAGAGAAAATCATTTCTTCAATCATATGCGTGGTAACAGTTATACGGGTTGCGAAAAACATTACGAAAAAGTAAAGACTGAATTAACTGAAAGATTTTCATGTAAAAAAATTATTTTAATCAAAAATTATAAATCATAGAGGTTTAATCAAACCTGTACTAATTGTATAAAAAGTTAAAACTCATTGCTAAGTATCATCTGTATATGGTAACATGAATAGGGGTTGATAAGCATGAAATGGTTGGATATCAGTTTAATACAAAAAAACATGCATACGTAATTAGTGATGTATTTTTTTAACAATCAAACATTGTTTAGGGGTAACGCAGGTACCTAATTTGGGTAAATTGTAGTTTTCAACATTTTAAAAGATTTTACTGTCAGTTTTTCAAAATTCATTCGAGCTTTTAGTATGTTACTGCTAAGTAACTTATTACAGGTAAATAAAACTAGACTGAAAAAAAAAAACTTAGGGGTTGCACAGGGCTGAAATAGTATGTTACTAATGTACAAAATTGTATAAAATAATGGTAAAAAGAAAATTATATGTTATTTAAGTTTTCCTTTCTTCCTATGAGAGACACCCATTTTCGATGGTTCTCAACAATAAACAGAACGTTTGATTGCAGAAATAGATTCATAAAACAAGATGAAGACAACTAACGGTTGAGTTAAATACCAAAGATATATGCAACACGACTGAATGTGAGCATCTTTTGCTGTATTCTCAAATTTGTGATACCTCTGCATGTTAGTGATATACTGGCGATTGACATTTGGTGCAATTACGGAAATTTGACTTTGCAAAAAAGCTTTTGCTTGGAATAACTTTTTCTTAAAGAAACAGCTAAGAGGCCATCCATAAAGAACGTCATCTAAATAGGAGGGAGGGGGGGGAGGGGATCGAGTTAAAAAGGAAAAAAAAGGACATGGGGAGGGGGAGGTTGTCAGAAAAGGACGTCACTTTATAGATTTTTTATTTTAGTTTAATTAACATGGAAAACTACGTAAACATGTGTTTTTGAGAAGAAAATGTATGAGAATATTTTTAATTTTATTTTTCAAAGGTGTAGCGGCAGATTCAAACATCATTGCAAGATGAAATAAATTTTTTTAGAGTTAATAATAGGGAGGGGGGTCAGGATTTTATGACGTCCTTTTCCGGGGGAAAAAAAAGGACAACCGGTGACAAAGGAGGGGGGGGGAAGGGGGTCAAGAAATTGGCTAAAAAATGGTGACGTCCTTTATGGATGGTCTCTACACCTTTTTTGAGACCAAATCAAATAAACTCGTTTAGATGATCTTTTCATGCTTGTAAAGTTTTTCTTTTCTTTTCTTTTTTTTTTTTTTTTACATGTTTATTTTACAACTTAAAAGTATTTGCAAGTAACCAATCACAGATTGGCGGTAAAGATATACAAACATACGAAGTAAACAAAAATATAGTTGCATACAGCTCCGAGACACGATTAAAATAAACATAAGTTACAACAATGTAGTAACGTGCACGTAAAAATAATCCGATAAATATATCTCTATATTATTCCAGTTAAAATAAAATAATACAATAAATAAAAATAAATTAGCTGATTTTTTGGAGAATTGTTTAGATGTTTGACTATAAGTTTATTTACCACATTTCAAAATAATCTTTGTGTATAAACATAATAAAAAAAAAATTAGTGTAAGATTGATATGAAAAATTACTTGTTAGTAGCTATAGGAAGCTCGCAGAAGACTTATCTCAGTCTTGTCATCGAGTACCTTTTTCTGAACGTGTAATACACATAAAAATCAGTTGTATACGTGGTATATATGTATGTTGTACATAGATACCTTGTTTGTAATATTATTTTTTTTTTTTATCGATTTGTATTAAAAGTTAAGCTACATTTTTTTAAATTTTTTATTAATATTTAAAAAAAATTCTTTATAGTTGTTTAATTTGATTATTGTAGATTTTAGCTTTATTTTCAGAGAATGTTCGTTGTTTAGGTTTAATTGTGATTCGTTTCTGGATACTAATTTGTTAAATAAATAGGGACTACGATATGTAATTGAGAATTTCGAGAGTCTTGTTGTTTCAAACGGTATCTTAAAGTTGCCTGTTGCTCTTGTATTGTATTTATTTATATTGCTTTTAAAAAAGTGTATTGTAAAATGTTCTGGAACCAGATTTAGTTTATATTTAAATATGAAAAGTATATTTTGAAAAATATTTATTTGAATTATATTTAGTGCGTTCAATGCCATTAGAATTGTCTATAAAAAAGATAAACTCACTCATGCTGAACCTTTGTTTAAACTCCTAAATGCACTAAACGTCTATAGAATTAACATTTACCAAAACTTACTCTTCATGCTAAAATTTAAACTTGGGCTTGTCCCACCACATTTCTTAAATGAATTTTTTAAAAGCAATAAAAATAGATATGACACTAGAGAAGTAGGAATCTTTAATGTACCATTCAGAAAAACAAAACTGTCGCGTTTCACAATTTTGTTTCGCGGTCCCTATCTTTATAATAAACTGATATCCAAAAATGCCATTATTACAAAATTAGATAACTTAAATTGTTTGAAAATCTTACTAAAAAAGTTTGTTTTAAATATCAGCAATTATTTAAACTTTCACTAAACTAAAACTGAAAGTAAAACCAAAATTATAATTGAAAACAAAATCCAAAAAACTTCAATAATATATATTATTATAAAAAATCAATATAAGTCAATAATAATTATATTTATGCTTAATAATATATTTATGTGTATTATGTGTACTACAAACAGTATTTACCAACTTTTTATTTCTACATTTTATTATATGTGAACCTAATATAAAATGAAGTATTTTGTGAAACTTGATACATTGTAAAAAGTACAAGCGGTTTCTTGATGACAAGACCATCTGGTCTTCTGCAAGTTTCCCGCGTTCTTTTAATATTAATGATACCCTACAATCATATTTTTTGTATTCTATAAAATTGTGATATATTTTTAGTATTATATATTTTAAAAACATTATAACTTTATAACTTTGTACCAATCATGTAGAATCACAACATTATAAAGATAAAAGAACAAAAAAAAAAAAAAAAAAAAAAAAAAAAAAAAAAGAAAATATGTTCGTCAATTAGAACTCCTAAAAACTTTGTATTCAAAACTCTTTTGATGGTTATATTTTCTATATTAAGTGTTGGTAGGTTCAGGGGTATTTTTTTAATTTGTTGATTAGAGTGAAATAGTATATATTTAGTTTTTTCTATATTGAGCGACAGCTTATTGGATTTAAACCATATATTAATTTTATTTAGTTCAGCATTTGTTTTTTCAAAAAGGTCAGACCTTTTTGAAAAAACAATTGAAGACCGTCTTCAGTTGTCTTTGCTGAGTGTGTCGTCTGCAAACATTATAGTTTTAAAGATATTAGAGGCATTTGGAAGATCGTTTATATAAATAAGAAACAAAAGAGGGGCAAAAATGGAACCTTGGGGTACACTACATTTTGTTCTGAGTATTCTTGAGTTGCTTTTTTTTCTCACTCTAGGCTTTTCCATTTTTGAACTAATACAATTAAAAATTTAAAACTGAAGTTATACTACTTTACTACTGTTAACTTTAATACTACTGCTAACTTTATTACTATTACTAACGGTTCTGAATTGCGCGCCAACTTAATAGCCGGTAACAATTAGCACCATAACAAAGAAATTTTTTGGGAATTTCCCAGGGAAATTTCTATAAAATTTTATTTGCACTTAAATAATTTTTTTTTGAAAATGTAGATTAGTACATTCGTAAGTATGTAACTTAATTTTTTTAACAAATTAGTAAGTTAAAGAGTGATTTTCCAATCAATAGGTACATTTTTTTTTAATTTTAATTATTTTCGAGTTAATTTGTGTATTTTTTATATTTTTATTACATTTGCATTCTTGTTGACAAATCAAGGAACTGCTGTGAGATTTTAAAGATTGTCACTATATTGGCAAAATGAACTTGATACTGTACAACCTCTAAATATTTTTTTGATGCGTTATATAGTGAAAAATAACATAAAAGTTCGCGAATGAATTTTGAAAAACTGACATTAAAATCTTTTAAAATATTGAAAAAAAGGCGCGAAAACTACAGGCTACCCAAATTAGATAACTGTGCAACCCCTAAATAATGTTTGATTGTCCCGAGGTTTTACAGTAAATTTTTTTGAATGATTAGGCACATAAAAAGTTTAACTCAAAATTAAAAAAAAAAATACGCGAAACGGGACACTCTAACAGGTTAGTTAGGTTATTTGTTTAGTAAACTGATAATTATACTCAAACACTGAAGAAAAAAAAACAAAGTGTTTCTAAAAAAACGTATTTTTATAGTGAATAAACAATAAATGTGTTTAGAAAAATGATAAGTTTTTAGGATAGTTTAGTTCTCTTTTTAGAGTATAAAAACACAAAAAAATTTTATTTAAAAAAATTAAAATTTAAAAAACAGGCGTGTAGGAACAAAAATTATATTGAGGGGGGGGGGGGCGGAACTACGCCAAAATAGTTTTAAAAAAAGGTCCCTTTTTTATATGTCATTTTTTCAGTCCATTTCTCAAAAATTATTAATTTAAAAAATTATTGGAGGAAGGGGGGGGGGGGGCAAATGCCACGGCTGCTCCTCCCTCCCCTGAAAAATATGACTAATGTTGTATAAAATTTCATAAAAACAAACAAAAATCAAACATAAATTACAACAAAAAAAGAATTTCCTAGTAACTAACTTTCATTGAAAATAAACAAGTATTAAAAAAAACTAATAATTAAATATATTTCAATTCAACAATTAGATTTCTTAAATCTTTTTTTTTTTTATTCATGTAAGAAATATTAGCAGTTTTTTATTTTCTAGAACTTATTTTTTTGTTAAAAAAGCATTGATCTTTTTCTGTTTAAAAATAGATTTTTTTAATTTACAATAATTTTATAATGGTTATATATTTCTAAGTTTACAGTGAAACCCAAAAAAACTTTGAAAACAAAATTAGAATTTTATATCAACAAAACTAAATTATCAATAACTTTAAAAATTTTTAAATTATTTAAGTTTTTATAGCTGACATTTTAAAATGAGTTAAATACTGCAAAAAAAAAAAATTTAGGAATAATATATAAAAACCATTCTTTAAAACGCTTTGTTGCAACTTACTCCTGTTGCAAATATCCCTAATTGCCTCCTTCCAGGTAATTCAATTGTAAGCGAACGGACTGGATGCTTAAATTAAATGAATTCAACTTTGTGACAATAAAAAAGATCAATTTGGTGTAACTTTTTCTTATTATGTCTGAGGATAGCATAGGATAAAAATTGAAACTTAGAAATTGATACTTAACGTTCACAAAATTGTGTTACATATAAAACTAAAGAAAGATGTTTATGAATTTTAAGGCTACAAGGAGACGTGGATCAACTTAATGCAATATTTGATCAAGAGAAAAATGAAATCACAGATTTGGAAAATAAAGTGAAAAAGCAAACAAAGGTTGTTATTTTTTTTTGGTTTTATTATATATATATATATATATATATATATATATATATATATATATATATATATATAATATATATATATATATATATATATATATATATATATATATATATATATATATATATATATATATATATATATATTCTACAAATAAGTTGAGGGTGGGTGGGGTGAATCCTCAAAAAGTACCGACTAGCATCTAAAAAATAAAATAAAAATAAGTCCTCAAAACGAAAATTTAACCAACTAAATTGTGTCAAACTGTCAACCAGCCGACTATATTAGAAAAAAAAACCCAATTATAACTTGAAAATCACCTTCTTTGGGGGGGGGGGGAGGTATAATCATCCCATCCTCCCCCATCCCCCCCACACACACGTAAAATCGCCTTTGTGTGTATATATAAATATATATATATATATATATATATATATATATATATATATATCTACTATAGCATATTTATATGCGCAATTGTTCACTTTTTTTGCTAGCCTAAATTAAGTGAGCGTTTTTAGAAAACGATGAGGGAAAACGAAGAATAATGAATGAAAAGGTTGCTGACCCATACCAAACCCTCAGTCGATGTAGCAGCACTCCACTGCAAGTCAGGCTATTTATCAGTCGATGTATGTACTGAAGCCCCCGGCAGCAGGCTATTTGACGTTAGGTGAGTATGACATCATCATGCTCACTTAACTCAGCAGTATAAGATATATATGTGTATATATATATAAATATATATATATACATTTTTTCAGTATTTTTTTAAATTTACAATTCTTCAAAAAATCCTCCTTTTGCTTTTATAGCAGCAATCAATTTCTGCAATAATTTAGTTAAATTTTGATTCTAGCATGTTTCTATGAATGCCAAAAGGTGCTTTTGATTGGTTGATTGCATTTTTCTTACATTTCAATCTAACTCATCCCAAAACAACTTGATCGAGTTTAAATCAGGTGATTGAGAAGGCCATTCCATTTATTTTAGTTCTTTTTGTTTTTCTTTGGATTCAATATAATTTCAGCAGTGCTTGTTTTTGTTGAAAGAATGTTGTTGGTATTTTTTATCCATAATGCCCTCAATTAGCTCAAAGTTACCTACTTTGTTTTTAGCAAAGCATCCCCAGACCATAACTGATCCTACAGTAAGTAGAGTCAGTCATGGTCTGACTGTTGAGATCACGCATGGTTTTATCATGTTTTCTCCAATTAATCGACGAACTTATTGTCAAGGATTTTCTCTGAACATTTTGAATTTTGATTCATCTGTGAATAAGACTAATGACCATCGTTGAATTGTCCGATCTTTATGTATTTCTTTCCCATCTCAATCTTTTAATTTTATTTAGTTTGTGTAGTAATTGTTTTTTGGCAGCAACACATCCTTTCAAGCAGTTTTTTTTTCACAGTTGAAACATGTACTGGTGTTTCCCGCATGGAATCATGGAAATAACTTTACGGATCACGGTTGAAATATGTACTGGTGTTTCCCGCATAGAATTAAGTTCTTGGTAAATTTCAAGAGCAGTTCAGTACAATTTCTTTTACTTTGAACACCGATAAATTTGTCTTCGTGATTCATCATTGTTCTAGGCCTCTCCGAATGATGAAAACTCTAATTACAGCCAGTTTCACGCTTTTTTTTTGCAACACTCTCATGACTGCATTTTTAGAAACATTGGTTTTTGAAGCAGTTTTCTGTGTTGAATAACTTTCCTTGTGTAATGCCACATTAACAGCTTGTTTTTCTACACTCTGCTCTGCTTTTTTATCCATTTTTCTTCTATCAAGCATAAAATGTAAACTTTTCTTTAAATTTAAATTCATGGACAAAAATTTTTTAAATTATTTTAACGTGCATAATTATTCCGCACACGTTGCAATATTTAACTTAAACAATATTTCGATTATCTTTCTGTATAAAAATAAGAGAAAACACGAAAAAATCTATCTATCTATCTATCTATCTATCTATATATATATATATATATATATATATATATATATATATATATATATATATATATATATATATATATATATATATATATATATATATATATATATATATATATATATATATATATATATATATATATATATATATATATATATATATAAATGGTTACAACAATTATTGTTAATATTATTTAAAGTAATTTTAAATAGACAATTTTCAAGTTTTTATGTTAAACTATCAAATGACATACGATTTATTTTTAGAAAGTAAAGAAGACTAATAAAATTTTTTTATTTTTTCCAAATAGATTTTCAATTTTTACTTCATACATAGATATTGTCTGCCTAAACCAAAACCCTAATTCAGTTTAATTGCTAAAGCTGCTATTTGGTACCCAATATTAGTGATGTATAAAGTTAAATCTATAAAATCTATCCTTTTTAAAGTTGTCCAACATTAAAACACTTTTTAAATAAACAAAAGTTTTGAATATCTGTTTATAATGTAAAAAAATTTATTTTTTTACGCTTTTTTTTATATTTTTATATCATAAGTATAACAAACCTTTTTTAAATAATTCAGTCACGTGTTAAATAAAAAGTCACGTGTTTATTACTAAAGATTAATTTACCAATATATCATCGATATTCTTTTAATATATTGGTGGAATAGCCGTCTATAAGTTTATCTTGTTGAAAACAGATTTTTTTAAAAAAGGTTTATACCGCATTATAGGTTTGTAGAGCAATAAAAATAGAACAATAAAAGTAGAACGATTGTAGTACCATGTAATAATAGGCGGATGCAGTTATGTTTAAACCAATTTCAGTTAGGTTAAAACTATAATTCTTTTCCAAATAATATTTAAATGCTAATTAGCAAGCAACAAATTTTTTTAATCTTGAATTTTTTTTTTACTTTTGTAATATTCTGTCAATGAAATTGTGCATTGATAAAATTATTGGTAAAGTTACGGTATGTGAATATATTTATGAGATACTTGTTGTTCTGAAAAATACTAAATCAAAATCTTTAAATCAACGACCACAATTTTAAGAAGCTTGTGAGCGTTTCTCTAAGTATATTTTTATTGTTTGAAGTTCGATAATAGTTTTTCAAAATATGCTTACATCATCATAAGTTCAAAAATAGAAAGTTTGACTATAGGGATAAAGAAGTATTCTGTTACATAATGGGCAAAAAGAAATATTCCGTTACATACTAAACAAAAATAAGTTAGTTGTTTTATTACCAGCTATTGTTACTTATAAGTAACAATAACCGTTACTTGGAAGTTATGTTGCTGCAAACAAAGTTTTGAATAATTCTAAAGTACAAATTTTGTTTTAGGTAAATAATTTGCAAAATTTGCTAAAAATTTCACTTTATAATGGCTTAAATTTTAAATTGATTTGTTAATAAATTTATTGACTGCGTTAATTTACTATTTACATTTCATTTAAAGACAAAATATCTCTGTTTAACACAATATATATTCGATAATAATTCACCAGTTTTATGTTTAATATTTAAATTTAAAGTTCAGATTTTGCCAAAACAAAATTAACGAATGAGGATCTCATTATTATTTAATATACACATATGAGACTAGCGAGGTTAAAACCATTAATCTTCATGGATTCTTTAAAAAGTGTTAATTCAAAGCTATTATTAAAATTGGATTGAATTTGTAACTATCCTAAATTTTGGATTCCAGATGCTAAACCCCAGCGTGAAAAAATACATAGTAAAGTAAAAAGTTAAAAACTGTTCACCTTGCCTGACAGATAACTATATTTGACATTTTGATCAATGCGGCTTTTTCCTGAAATTTCCAATTAAAAACCTGTTACTTCTACAAGTCCGAAACATTTATTTTTTGTATGCATGACAACCATAAATAACACAAAATTAAGAAATAAAATTAAAAATTTAAAAAAAGTGCATACAAATTCCCTACATTCATTTAAAACACCGCGACAATCAATTAAAACAATGTGATTTTCAATTAAAACAATCGTGATTTTCATTTAAAACATTTAACGCATGCGCAATCTCAACATTCTATATTATTTAAAAAAAAAAAGGTCTTTATATATTTATTTATCGAATATTATATAAATTTATTTTTATTAATATTATATTAATTTATTTTAATTTAATGGAATTTATTTTAAATTTGAATGGATGTCACGTTTGTTTTAAATGGATGCAAAACCATATTTTTTTACACATTTTTTATACACTATTGTATTGGCAAAACAACCATGATGTTCAATTAAAACATGATGATGATAATTAAAACAACCATGATTTCCTATTAGAATATTTAGCGCATGAGGATATTAGATTTTAGATACACATATAAAATTACTCGACCAATTTATGAAAGAAGAAACGACAATGATGTAAAAAATCTTCGTATTGAATATGTTAGGTGGTATACTTCAATCTCGCCTATTAATCGCTATTGAAATATTGTTTTTATTGATGAAAGTTCATTTAATTTACACATGTTTCGCAGTCATTCATGGGCAAGAAGAGGAGTAACACCAAACCCGATCATTCACCCAAGGCAACGTAACGTTTCGATGATATTGGCCATCAATGGTTTAAATATTATTCACTGCGAAGCTGTCAGTGTGTCAGTCAACACAGTTTTGTTTCAAGAATATATTGATGAAGTTGTACGAGGTTTGGGTACAGAGGAAGAATTCACCCTGGTGATGGATAATATCAGAATCCATCATAATGTTGAGATAAGAGCTCAGAACATTCAAATAAAATATTTGCCACCATATTCACCATTCTTGAATCCGTGTGAAGAGATTTTTTTTATCTTAAGAATAACGTGTGAAGAAATACGGCCCCAGCTGGAAGAAATGAGCTAATTTCAAGAATGCGTGAGGCATGCTTATCTATTCCTAATGTTAACTTATCAATATAATTTTATTTTATTCAAAATATAAACATTATATTTTGAATAAAATAAAATTTTAAATTTTTTTTAAAAAATCAAATAAAAAAAATATAAAGAAAACCTTTTTTTAAAAATAATACAGAATGTTGAGATTGCGCATGCGTTAAATGTTTTAATTGAAAATCACGATTGTTTTAATTGAAAATCACATTGTTTTAATTGATTGTCGCGGTGTTTTAAATGGATATCGTGGTTGTTTTAAATGGTTGTCATGATTGTTTTAAATGGATGTAAAAACCGATATTAATTGATATGTTTATTTGTTATTTTAACTTTTCAAAGTCTTACAGAATAACTGCATCATTTTGTAAATAAATCGACTGATATAGTCGTGGTCGCAGTGGAATGTACATACATTGACTGAATTAAATAGGGATATATGCATAGGAGTGTACATTAGGGTGAAGCAATTTTCATAGCAAAAAAAATATATATATATTCTTGAGACACGAATCGATGTCTATTAATAATAAGAAGAAAGTAAAAATTTATCTAAGTAAAGAATAAATTAAACTGCACTGGATGTTTAGATGAATCTCGCGAATAAGGCCTACTATCCAAGGCCTTATTCGCAATAAAATTGCATACTTTTGCACAGTATGCAATAGACTGAAATACATGTATGGCATGCAGTATGGCATACGAAACAAAATTTATTTTAGATTTGACACGTCAGAAATTTTAAACCAATCAAAAACTAATAATCAGGAAATAACTCATGATTTTGGGTTTAAGAATTTGGCTGGGCCACTAAAATCCTTTTGGAACCAATTCGGCAATTGAATTAATTAAAACTACTATAATAAGTTTGTATAACATTAAAAAACTTAGCTTAAGCATCGCTAAAAGTAAAGTGGAAACTTCGAATAAAAATGAGTAGCAATTCTGGTCTAAAATATTTAAAAAGATTGAATATGAATAAAACTGTAATGCAAACTTTTAACTGATAGCAATTCAAAACAAGAAGTTAAGTATATAGATAATTTATATTTTAGAAAAAGTTCTTTCTGAAATAACTTCAAGTGGCAAGTTCATAATAGTTTGTTATTAAATTGATGGAGTTGTTAGTCAACTTTTATTTTTCACCAAATAGCGCAGAGCTTTTTTTTATAAACTATCAGATATTCCTACATTGATCTTGCCACATTCTTGGCACTTCTTTCTTGTTGCTACCGTTTCCTTTAGTATTTTAAAATTTATACATAAATTATTGTCTCTTTTTCCAGGATGTTTATTAACTTAATGACTAATAAATTAACTAATGAATAATAAATGTTGCGTCAATGTTTATAAAATCAATAAAAATATTGATTTTATAAACATTGAAATTTTTTTTTTTTACAACCACGATGCTATCACCTTTTATTGATGGCTTTATTTTATTATTTCGAAAGTTTCCGATATTTAATCTTCATTATTTTAACATATTCTTCTTAAATTGTTCAACAATTTAATAAAATTATTGAAATTAAAAAAGGTAAAAACTAATCATGAAGAAAGAGAGATAAAATTTCATTAGAAAATCTCTTTTAAAAATTCATTTTTCAAAAAATATATAGTATAACCATAGTAAAACCACCTTATGGTAAAACCAGTTTCCGATATTTAATCTTCATTATTTTAACATATTCTTCTTAAATTGTTCAACAATTTAATAAAATTATTGAAATTAAAAAAGGTAAAAACTAATCATGAAGAAAGAGAGATAAAATTTCATTAGAAAATCTCTTTTAAAAATTCATTTTTCAAAAAATATATAGTATAACCATAGTAAAACCACCTTATAGTAAAACCACCTTAAACTTCAATTCATTAATCATAAAATTAATATACAAATTTATTAGGTTTTTATTAATTAAATACCTAAAATTAATATAAAATTATATTAAGGTTTGGTTTCAATTACACAACAGTTATAAGGCAATTAAATTATAAGAGCAATTATTGACAATGTTAAATAATACACATAGAACACAGCACAATCATATACAAGCCTCTAAAAGGATTTTTTTTAGTGTTTAAAATAACTTGACTGTGAGTTTTAATTCTGAAAGCCGAGTTTAGTAAAGTGCATGATTTAATTGTGTTATTAACTATGGTCCGCATGTTATCCATCTAAAAAAATTAAGGAATTTAATGTTGACAATCTTTAAAGTATTGTGATCAAACTTAACTTGAGCACAGCTGTCACCCAGATCCAGTTTTAAGAAAGAAGTCTGAAAAATTTGTGACAAGATTGTAGCTTTATTCAAGTTAATGGTTAGTTTGCTTTTTTTAAAAAAATAAATAGCTTCTAATTTAATTTATTATTATTTAAAGTTTATTTAAATATTTTGATTATTATTACTATGTTAAAATTCTTTTTTAGAAATCTTCTACATTAGAGATCTAACATTCTGGAAAAAATTGTTTTTATAAATCTTAATCATCAAAAACAGTTTCATTGAAATTATTGTGGAAGATTTGTTTTGATTGGGAAATCTACGAAACTTTTTGTCATGATTCTTTCGTAAATCATTTTTTGAATCAGAGGGGAAGTCCTTGATTTTATGGAATGATTTACGAAAAAATTGACAAATCTGCATCATCATTTAAGTGTTACATCTATTTTGTACATAGAATTAGATACAAGACAATGTAGCAGTTGTATTGGAAAATAGTTTTTGGAGTTGCTTATTGTTAAGTATTTCAGTCATTTTAATATGCTGCACATCAAAATATAAACTATAAATGGTATATTTTTTAAATTTTATCCTTTAAAAAAATAAAGGAGATGGGTAAAAAATTTGTGAGAAAATTAAGAGTTCTTATCTAATATATCATGGGGAAACTAAAATAATAAAATATAATATTAAAATAACGTTCTAATTTGACAAGACTTTTTTTTCACCCAAAATATAAATTACTCTTGATAATTGTCCAGTTGAATATATTTTATTTATTACTGACAAAGGCCATTTGGTTGATAAAATTATTTAAAGTTAATTATTAAAACAAATGACTCAAAATTTAGCTTTTAATTTGAGTACATAAATATATATATATATATATATATATATATATATATATATATATATATATATATATATATATATATATATATATATATATATATATATATATATATATATATACAAAGGCTATATTATTTTTTTGCAAAAATATGCCTGCATACAGCTAATTTCCTTATGGAAAGGCATTATCGGCACTGGGGTACTGTCATTAAAAATTTTTTCCTAGAATAGCCCCTGATATATATATATATATATATATATATATATATATATATATATATATATATATGTATATACACACACACACACATATATATATATATATATGGCTTGAAATAGCTGCCAGACATCGGTCATACGGTAAAAAACATCATCTACTTACTAGTCATTTGTCTGACCCATATAGTTGTGTATTTATTTTATAATTATTTTAGATGTTCTAAAATTATTTGTACATTTAGTACATTATTTTATATACAAAACATCATTTTATATACAAAACGGAAAATGATACTAAATACACAGTTATGTTAATACAGTACGTTGTTTTTTGAGCTAATCAATTTTTAAATGACATTAAAGCGTTAATTTTTTAAAAATTAAGCAGCCCAAAATTTAAATTAATAATAATTAGTTTTATTAATTATTATTAATTTAAATTTATATTTTAGTTTTTATTTAGTTTTTTGTTTTTAATGGTTTTTAAATTTTAACTAATATTTGAGCTTTTAAAATCCCTTTTAAATTTATTTTGACAAAAAATGTTATTTTAATACTTATAGAAATCAGTATTTTTTATTATACTATTATATTGGACCTACGTCATGTAAAGTTTATTTTTGCGCTAAAGTTTTTTGCCTTTAAAATAGTTAATAAAATTATTCGTAGAAAACATTAAAAAAGATTTAAGTTTATCATAAAAAGTACATAAACAAATACAAATATGTATAATATTCATTGATAATTTAAATAAAATGGGTTTTTTGTAAACGATCATTAGGAGTTGTTATTTTATTTAAAAATGTATTAAGTAAACATTCTTTTACATAATATAAAAACATTTTTTTTTTTAATTTTTAAAAAGCAATGTTATGAAACACTTTTTTTTCCTGATAAGTTTTTTTTTTAATTTCTTTTTTTTTTTTATCACATTTTTTAAACGTTTGTCAAAATGTTGTCAAAATTGAATTGTGAAAACAAAATGACCTTACAAAAAGTTTTTATGTAATTTTTGTCAGACATATCCTCCAAACCATAGTATTTATCTAACAAGTTGGCCTTAACAAATAATATATACATCCCTCGGAATTAGAAAAAATGAGGTCGGCAATAATTTGCCGACCTCAATCTTTTTGAGATTGGCATCAGGTCGGCAAAAATTATTTGATACAGATGTCTGACCATAAAACATAGAAATGAGGTTGGTAATTTATGCCGACCTCAAACACTTTCAGGTCGGCAGTTAGGTTGTCCGAATGCTGACCCTAATTCCGAGGGTTATATATATATATATATATATATATATATATATATATATATATATATATATATATATATATATATATATATATATATATATACGTGTGGGCAATTCTGCAAGGAAAAAAAAAAAAAAAAGTAAAACACATACATAAAACACATACTAAACTCCATAACTCTTTTTTAATTAATAAAAAATACTTTGAAGCAAAATAAAAATTTTAAAAAACTATTTTATCATACTATAGCATGGTTTTAATGTTGTACGGGTTGAATAAACATGTTGTGATGCTTATTTTCAGTCCTGTTGTATAACCTTAAAAAATCGCATCAAATATCCATAATTAAGAACATTGATAATGTTAAAGTGCATTTTTGTAACATAATATACATCGTTAATAATCATTTTGTGACATAATATACGTTTTTGTAACATAGTATACATAATAAACATTTGTAACATAATATACGTTGTTAATAATCATTTATACATGTTTTTAAGCATTGGATTTTTTGTTACACTCTAGCAGAATTGCCCATATATATATATATATATATATATATATATATATATATATATATATATATATATATATATATATATATATATATATATATATATATATATATATATATATATATTTAGGGGTGCACCAATGCTTACTTTTGGCCATTACTGATCGGTATAGGCTGATATTGATGCATCAGCCCTAAATTTGCACTTGTAGTTTTTTCTTTTTTACTAATAGATAATATATGATATTTTTCAAATTTTATGTTTCTATATTTCTCTCTCTCTCTCTCTAAATATATATATATATATATATATATATATATATATATATATATATATATATATATATATATATATATATATATATATATATATATATATATATATATATATATATATATATATATATATATATATACATGTATAAATATACATATATATATATACACACACATATATATATATACATACATATATTCTAGTGATGTGCCGGGTACCCTGTTCTGACCCGGGGACCCAATAATTCAAATGTTTTACCGGGTACCCAGAATTGGTCATTTTGTTGCAGTACTCTGCACTAGGTATCTTAAAAGAAATTTTTAATAAAAATTAACCTTAAGTGCTGTAACTATTTGTTTAAATGGTACTTTAAATTCTGTCAAAATATTATTAACAGGATTGCTTATAATTTAAACTTCAACCAATAAACTTTTTGATATAACCTCTGGTGATAAAAATTTGGCACAAAATAAACACAAGCAGTAATAGTACAACAAAAAGTTTAATGAACAAAAAAGTAGTACAAAATATAAAGCAATATATTAGTTTTTTATTTTCGAGACTGAAATAATGCTTTCTTGCCATTACGACATACTGCGTCAACTTTTTTGTATACATGTTCACACATGCCATGTACAAGGTTTTTATCAACTTTTCTTCAACAAGAATGGATTCTTTTTTGCAGCTGATTGTCATTTTCAGCTTTCCAATTGTTTTCATACACGTAACATTTAAGGATTGACCAGAAATCTTCTATTGGTCATAATTCTGGGACACATGCTGGATTATCAACTTTTGTTTCATAATGGATATTTTTCTCATCGAGGTAATAGGTCGCACTTCTAGCATAATGTGAAGAGGTCAAGTCGTAAGTGATAAAAAGAACCAATCGTTTGATGATGCAATACCTTTTGTACACTGTTTAGTTAATTGCCAGTCTCGCAGGAACATTAAATGGTTTTGAGACTCCGCGAAGGGATATGGTAATTCACAAAAGAATTTTTCTTTCAAATTTGCTTTTGCGCTTATATTTTACATTATTTAGTGCATTTTTTGTTTCATCTGAGTAAAATCCAGCATTAGAATTTTTATTTGTATGTTTAAATGTAAAATAAGACTCATCCTCAATGACAAAGTCACGGTTTCTGAATTTGCGACAAATTCTTCCACACTTCAGTTCCAAATGATTTAACTGTTTATCAGTGTGATCAGGGATTTGTTTTTCCTTAAAATAACAAATGTTTGTTTTGTTTTTTAATGTTTTTACAATGTAGGGAATGATCACACTTGAATTGCAACTTTTCTTGTTGTAGTTCCAGACCGGTTGTTCAAAAGACCTTTCAGGCGATTGATGTTCCTAGCAGTCATAATTTTTAGTTTTCTGCCTGATCCAGGCTTACGAGATTTCAGCTCATTCTCCTTCCACTTTGCCATATAATGTTTGATGGTTCTTTTGGGGTAATTAAACAAACAAAATACTTTACGATGCTCATCGTTTTAGGGTTAAATGCAAATTACAATAGTTGTACACTTGCTCTTGATATTTTTGGCATTAAGAACATCAGACGGCAAGTTATTCCAAATGTTAACAATCCTGAAGGAGAAAGAATATTTATAAACATCGAGTTAATATTTTAGTTTGCATAATTTGAATTTGTGACCTCGAGTGTAAATACAGTTGTTAATTAAAAAGAAACTTGATATATTTAGGCAAACTTAATTAGCACAAATAAACCAGCGTTATTTTTAAAAAACAATTCAGCACTAGAGATTTTATCAGTTTTTGTTTAAACATTTTAATGACCTGGTTTCTTTCAGGAATCCAGAATTAAACATTTTAATATGGACCTGGTTTCTTTCAGGTATTCCAGAATTAAACATTTTAATATGGACCTAGTTTCTTTCAGGTATTCCAGAATTAAACATTTTAATATGGACCTGGTTTCTTTCAGGTATCCAGAATTGAACATTTTAATATGGACCTGGTTTCTTTCAGGTATCCAGAATTAAACATTTTAATATGGACCTGGTTTCTTTCAGGTATCCAGAATTAAACATTTTAATATGTACCTGGTTTCTTTCAGGTATCCAGAATTAGGGACTTGGCATTTACAATTTAAATTACAACATAAAGTTTTGATCTTTAGCTAGCTATTTTATTTTACTTAAGGAAAACAAAAAAACCGAATGAAAAATTTTTCAGAAAGTTTTGTTTCTTTTAATATTCTTTTCGTCTTCATAATAATAAAAATATTGATTACAATAAAAATATTGATTACAATAAAAATATTGATTACAATATTTTTAAATATTAAGCTTACCATAATTACTTCTTTTATTTTTAAAGGTTTTATATATAAAAGTACTGTGACAATTTTTAACTTTTAGTAAAAGTTAAATGAACAAAATTGTTAATATTTAAATCAAAAATGAAAGTTAAAATAATAGTAAATATGCTTATGTTTTGCATTTGAATAGTTATTGTGTATATAATATATCATATTATATATAAACAATAACTATTTGAATAAAACACATAAGTGTTTAATAAGCGTATTTACTATTATTTTAGTTTTACAAATACAAAACTATTTGTAAATCATTGATTAAAAATTGTTTAAAGTACATTAAACATTTAAAAACTACTAAAATATAGCTAAATGCTTAAAATACTTAAAATACTTTTTATTAATTAGTTATAAGTATTTGCAACTTAAAAATTTACTAAAATTTTAAATAAAATAGTTTTTTTAAATATAAATTAAGCAGTGCTTTCACTGTGTTTTTAGATAACAAAAAATGTCACTGAAATATTGAAACAGATCGACGGAGTACATACATGAACTGAGGGGTTAAGTTATGCGCAAGCAGTATCTACGTATATAAAAAATCTGTTATGGAAAAAAAAAGTTTTTTAGTGTCTGGATTTAGATACTTATTTCAAAAGTTTATATTTTTAGAAAAAAAAGTATTGTAGGCCTAGATCTGTTGTAGTAATATTCAAGAGTTAGCAGGTTAACATATTAATATATTTAAAATTATTAAAAATACTCCAAATACTTTAAATATTTAAATTTTAAGAACAAGAATACAAAAAAACAATATTAAAGGAAAAGAAAAGATTACTAAAAAAGAATACTGAAGAAAACAAAATGTCTTTCCTTTATTTTCTGAAAACCCTTAGTTAATGCAGGTAGTGGAATTTAAGTAGCTATATTTTAATTATAGCAGTAGTTTATTTAGTACTATATAAGTAACTATAGTTTCAACCATAATATCTAGATGATCTTATTCCTCTGTGCTAATTATTTAGGCACTAGCAGAAGAAAGAAAATATTCTACACAATTAGAAGAAGAGAAGCAGGATTTTCAAAAAAAAATCGATGCAGTGGAGTTAAAGGTACAATTTCTATTATTAATGATTTTAGACTTTTCTTTAGTTATTTTTTTTTTTTGCTTTATTTTTCTTTTCTTGGGATTAATTATGTTATTTAAATGATGGAATTGGACTTTTTTTAGAAAGAAGTGTTTTTTTTAGCTTTGTATAATTATATATGTATATATATATATATATATATATATATATATATATATATATATATATATATATATATATATATATATATATATATATATATATATATATATATATATATATATATATATATATATATATATATATATATATATATATATATATATATATATAATATAAATATAAATATATAAATCTGTAATTTATATATATATATATATATATATATATATATATATATATATATATATATATATATATATATAATATAAATATAAATATATAAATCTGTAATTTATATATATATATATATATATATATATATATATATATATATATATATATATATATATATATATATATATAATATAAATCTGTAATTTATGACCATCCAGACAATGTTTGCTTTGGAATGTCTCGTTTCTTTGATATAGATACAGATGATTATCCTTTGTCAAGGATAATCACTTCTTTTAGTACTTTTTATTTTAGATAGCATTCTTTTAGCAACATTTTTAGTAAATAAACTTGATCGAAGTATAACCGAATTGAAGATATCAGTGAAAATGTTTAGTTTGTTAAATTGTGTTTGACGCAAAATTAATTAGTTTTTGAACACTCTAAAGTTTTGATTTTTAATTATATTTTTAATGTAATATTTATTAACAAACTTAATTGAAGCTTAGCTTATTCAAAAGAACTCTGTAAAAATGTTTAGCTATGTTTAATTAAATTTGACACAAAAGTATTTTATTTTCGAGCGTTTAAAGTTTGGAATTTTTATTGAAGTATTAGAAGTTTTGTTATTATATGCAATTCAAAATAAAAATCCTAGTTAAGCGAAGTTTTTTGCCGAAGGGACCTCAAAAAACAGTACGAGTTAGCGAATGGTCCGACCTAACCAGGGTACGACTTGAGCGGATGATTTAACAGTAAGTTGATAAAGAATGTTCAAAGGGAATTGAAATTCCAACCGATTTATCCAGTGTCTGAGTTAATGAGATTCAACTGTATATATATATATATATATATATATATATATATATATATATATATATATATATACACACACATATATAAATATATATATATAAATATGTATATATATATATATAAAATTAAGGTCTATTAATGTAAAGGTTTGGAATTTTTTTTATAAATATAAAATCTTTAAATTCAATTTTTTTTTTCATTTCTGATTCACTTTCAACAAGACTGCAAGCAACCATTATTTAGTTAGGCGTTAAAAAAAGAATAGAGTTATGAGCAAGAAAATGGTTGACTTTTTTTGAAGGTTGAATGAGTCAGGAAAAGTTGTATGAGTTGTATGAGGTTGTATGAGTCAGGAAAGTTGTATGAGTCAGGAAGGTTGTATGAGTCAGGAAAACATAAAGATGAGAAAGAATTCTATAGAGTTTAAGTGTGGGGAAAAAAACTAGACAAAAGTTTATAAAGCATGCATGGACAGATGATAGTTTCTTTTAGCAGCGACCATTATAATAATTGTAGAAAGGAGAAAGTGATGCAACCTTACAATGATCGGAAAGAGGTTCAATCTCAACAGATAAAGCAGATCCAACTACATTTACAATGCATTTTTGGACCTTGTCTAAAAGAGAAAGGGCACAAAGAACCAGTACAAATATGACAACAGTATTCCATATAGGGGTGGATAAGAGATTTGAAGAGGTAGAGAATGGAATCCGGAAAGAGAAAACGGCAAGCACAATAAAAAGAAGCAATTTGTTGTTTGCAGTAAATAACTGAGTTTTGTTGGAGCTAAAATTTACAAGCCACTGCAAACCCTAATCTGTTACAGAAGTGGGATCAGGATCAAGGTTGGCTGTCTGTTGTAAGCAATCAACAAGAGAAGACTTTTTTTCAAGAAAGGAGTATAAAGTTGAGTCATCAACAAAAAGAGCTACTTTAGATGTAAGGTTCATGGGAAGATCATTAATCTAGATAAACAAAACAAGAGGGTATTTCCATGTCAATTGACCCAGGTCATGTCACCATACATCTCAGATTTTGCTAATTTTTATACAGTTAAGAGTGCTTAGTAAAATAAGAATTCCTTGAAAATGGTCAAAGTATAGGTACGTCCAGATTCAAATTATGTTGGTAATTGGAACCCAACACTCATGCTCTAGATGGCCATAAAAGTTTGTTAAAAGAAACATGCAGGTGCATAAATGTAACCATAACATCTTGCTCAATATTATCAATTTCATTTATCATACCAATCCAATGAAACGTATGATATGTAGGTTAAATTAATGATAGCTCCTAGTTCCAGGAATTATTCTACTTAACTGAAAATGTTTTTTCAAAGTGGTGCGCAATTCTGTCAGTCTTTCTTTATCAATCTTGAAAAAGATAATTAATTCAATTTAACATCTTGTTATTTATGTTTTACAGTGTCACCAATACCATCACATAGTAATTTACTATGACTTGTATCAAAAAATGTCTACTCTGCATAAATGTCAAAATCATCTTTATGGAAACAGATATTGTAAAGGTTTTTGTGGTTTTTATACTGTGCAGCACAACCATCACAAAAAATCTTTAAAATATTAGGATGGTTTTCTTTTAAGTAATTAACTATTTGTGTCTGAATGTATTTTGTGTCATACACAAAACCTATGTTATGCTCATTACCTTCTGAGATGAAGCAAAATTATTTTTCTTTAATCTGGTATTTGGTTTAAAAAATATAGAGCTACAGGGTGTAACTTGCATTGACTTTAGCACCTATGCTAACTTTAAATTTCATCTTAAATTACAAATATGTAGTTTTATGCAAAATCACCTGAGACAATACAGTCTTTTACCAACTTTTCTTTTTGTTGCCTTACATATCTTGCTTGATATTTTGCAATGTAGGAATGAGCTGAAAAACAATTTTATGCCCTGAAAACTTTTAACACATGTTTATCAGGACTACATAATGATGGAAATTTCAGAGCTCCAGTTTGTCTGGAAAGTAGTGAAAATCACAAGATTCCACTAAAAAAAACTGGTCCCCCTCTAATGTCTTGGGGCCCTGTAAACAACTTTAACTTGCACATTCATTGGCTCTACAAAAATGCAAAAATTTTCAGAGCTCTAACTAGTTTGGAAGGAAGCAAAAAATCAATTGCAATACTCTTCAAAAAAGTAGAGACCATTTCAAAAGTAGAGACAGTTCAAAAAATCTTTATATTTTTTGAAAGATCAATGAATATAGAATGATATGTAATAATTTCTTTTTTTTATCATTTATTGATATTTTTTGAGGAGCAACCGTGGTGCAGTGGTTAGAGTTCTAGCTCAGAACCCAGAGGTCAGAGGTTCCATCCTGGCTCTAGCCCAATAGGCGATATTGGTAAGGAAAGAGGTGTGGGACTGTAAGGAATTTTCAAAGAATATATCATCAAGGCCACATCAGTTTTTTGAGCATCAAAATCAGGTATATAAAAAGTTGCCTAAATTTATTTAGATTGACAAATACATGTACTTAAAAATATTTTTTTACTATTCTGATCATTTCAATGGATTTGTCACCCCTGAAAATAGTCAAGTACAAATTTTTAAGTGAAAAGATAAAATGTTTTAAAAGTTATGTGACTTGAAACCTCTAAATAAATGTTGCCATTCTGAAGGGACAAGAGGGGCCTGGCCAACATCTGTTAAAAGTAAAATGGTCATATTTCAGAATCCTCTTGGAGCCAGAGGCTAAAGTTTTCAAGAAATTCTTATTTCACTAGGTTTTCTCAACTGTGTAAAAATCAGCAAAATCTTAGACATACCGTGACATTAAAAACTTCTCGGTTATTTTACATGGAATTACCCAGGACCAAGGATAGCCCCTTGAGGTACCCCAGAAGTTACTGGAAATGAAGAAGAGTGTTGGCCTTTGAGGATGGTTTTTATAAAGCAGTTAAAAAGAAACAATTTGATAATCTTTTTCAGATACACCATGAGAGGCAAGTTTACACAGAAGACCAGCATGCCAAACTTTGTCAAAAACTTTAGATATGACAAAAGCAGTAGCCCTAGTCTCTCCACCTCCATCAAATGCTCAATAAAATCTTTCAGTCACAGCAGTTAGCAAGTCAGTCGTAGAGCAAGAGGATTGAAAACTGTATTGACTGTCTGACAGTCAATACAGTTTTCAATCCTTTTGTTATTTTATTCAAGATGGGATGTGTAAAATTTGTTGATCAAAGACTTAAAGACCTTACTAATAACAGAACACTGATCAGATGATAATTGGAGTGGTCAGAATGTTCTCCAGAGTTTTTGAGCAACTGAAATTGGAATAAACAGATGCTATTTTCCAGCATTTGTTGTTCTAGTTTTCCAGAAAACGAGACTCAGTCAAGCATTTATTAATAAGTTTAGAGAAAATTGAAAAGAGTTTTGGACAATAATTTTGTATGGCTATGGCAGGAATGTTGTCTGTAGTAGAAGTTGTAGAAGAGTTTAACTGAGATATGACTTTATCAATGGAAGCTGGAATAATTTGAATGTCTAACAATGGGTTACCCTGTTTAATTGGAATAGAAGGAAGAGAATGGCCATGAGATTCAAGAGTCAAATTAGAAGAAAAGTTTTTTTGCAAATAGTATTGCCTTATCCTTTCAAGAGGTAATAAGATCAGTCCCATGAATGAGAGATGAAATGTTAGACCTACCCTTGCTAATGATGCTGTTGAAGATTTTCTAAAAGTCTATTGAGCCTAACTTCTGAGATAAGATGCAAGATTCAGTGAACTGAGAATAATGGAGCTTAGCATCAGACAGCACTTTTTTACATAGATTTCTTGCAACTATAAGTAGCCATTTGTTCTCAAAAGATAAAAAAAATTGTTACAATTAAATATAGCAGCAGCAACAAAAATGTGAAAACCATGGAGTAGAATGAGGCTTGACTTAAAACTAAAAAAAAGAAATAAAAGCTTCGATTCCTGCCTGAGTCTAGGAGGTTATGTAGGAGGCGCATTTATCAGCTGAAACAGAAAAGATATCAGCTCAAAGACCATCACAAAGAAAATCATGAATGAGTTCTAATCAGCTTTAGATATCTGTAAATATTGCAATGATAGGGTAAGTCTAGAGCTATGAGATAAAAGATTTATAAAGATCATTTCATGGTCACAACAATCAAAGGAGAAAAAAGAGAAACTGAACACAGCCTAGGATCAGAGACAACACATAAATCAAGGAGTGAAGGTAAATGGTTAGGGTTGTCAGGAAAACAAGGCACAAGGTTAACTATCTGAGTAAAAGATTGAGCAGTGCAAAAGTTATAGGCTTTAGTGCCAGCAGGGTCAGTGGCGTGTTAGAGCCATGCCATTCAGTGTGATGAGCATTAAAGTCAGCATTAAAAACAATATTCGCAGATGGTAAAGGGAGAAGACATGAGCAATTTGATCAGAAATTACATCTAAAAGATTGCAGTCTTGGGAAGAAGGAGAACAATAAAGAATAAAGTGAAAGGTGACAGTGTAGAAGGGCTAAACGGAAGATTTGAACCTTATTTCATGAAAAATAAGTGAATTGATGCGTATGTATGCATATTTGATTATTGGAGTCTTTGCGAATCAAAGGATAGTACCCATCAACACTAAGATCTGAAGGAGGAATAGTGGAATTTAAATTAGTCTCACTAAGAGCAAGTAAATAATATAGTCTGGTAATTAGGTCTAGTAAATTTTGCAATAGCTTCGATTTAAGTGATGAAAGGTTGCTTTTTAGACCACGAATATTTGTAAAAGATATGAAAATATATCTTTTACTAATATTAAATATTAGGATATATTAAAACAGTTAGGCGGTGGGCATGGTTTTTTATGTTTAACATTTTGGCTTTTTTATGCATATATTTTGCCTTTATTTTAACATACTAATTATTTAATTTGGAACCTAATATAGATGATTTTTTTTTTTTACCAAAAGTTTATATTATGGCTTTATTTAGCCTGTGTAAACTGACCTATACAGGTGTGGAAATGGGCACAGGCTATAGCCCACCATTAGTTGGATATTTTTCGAACAGTTTAAACCATTTGGTTTAAACCTATCAACTCTGCTCGGCGGTTTGGTATCCCTATAAAGTTATTTTTATCAAACTATTAGTTAATTTTTAAGTTTATTTTATTACTATTATTAAAAAGTAATAAAATAAGTATAGAAATATAATTGTAATATAATAATATTATAATTACAATTTCTATTTTAGTTAGAAGCTGCATTAGCTGATAAAAGAACATACGAGAAGCAAGTTGCTGATTTAGAATTATCAAAAAAGGTTTTGCAATCAAGTATTGAAAACTTGACAAGTAGTAGAGATAATGCTCGTAACTTACATGCTGCATCTGAAAAAGAAAAGAATTCTTTGCAGGTCCAACTTAACGATTCTAGACGTCTTGTTTCTGAGTTGGAGGATGAAATACATCAATTAGAGGCAAGCGTTGCAGCTGCTAATGGTAATTTTATGTTTTGTTTGACATTTTGTTATTCTAAATTTTTGTTTCTAAGTTTAAACAGTTTTGTTATTTTGAACTTTTTTTTATTCTGTATCTTTGTTTTTCTGCATTTTTTCAGATTTTTTTTGTTTTGTTTTATACTGCTGTTATACTTCAATGACTCTGGTACTTTAAAATAAAGATCAAGTAAATAATGGTTAAAATGCAATAAATATATACAATAAATAAAACAATAGTTATTACATGACATTAAATAATGAAAAATTGCAGTAATTATATTAATTATAATAAGTGTGAAAATATCATATATGATAGAATAAATAACAACTTTAAAACATTTTATCTATGGTTTTCTGATGTTTAATAACTGTTAATCTGTGGATAAATATTTAATTTAACCATTAGTGACTTGACTGCTTATAAGTTTTTGCACCATTTTATAATGATTAAAAAAAAACAATTTATTAATATATATTTTATATTTCTTCAAACTTTTTATTTTTTTTTATTTTGTTTTTTAACAAATGATTAGTAACATTTAAACAATTTTCATTATATATACAACCCTCGGAATTGGGGTCAGCAATGCTGACCTAACTGTCAACCGGAAAGTGTTTGAGGTTGGCAAAAAATTGCCAACCTCGATTCTATGTTTTTTGGTCAGACTTTTCTATCAAATAATTTTTGCAGACCTCAGAAAGATTGAGGTTGGCAAATTATTGCCGACCTGATTTTTCCTAATTCCAAGGGTTGTATACAATATATAAAAAGAAATTAAAAAAATAATATTTTTTGTCTAAATAATTATTAAGGCCATCCGGCGGCATAAATGGCTCGTTATTTTAAATTACGACTTTAGGGTGAACTAAAATAAAAATGATTGTTTATAGCCTGGCAACCAGACAGTTTGTTATTTAAAAAAGAGTGTTAATAAATTAAATCATATTCAAACAAAATTAAAGTGATAAAAAAATATTATTAATGATGCATGTGAAAGTTTTTTCCTAAAAAAGAAGTCCTAATGAATAAATTTCTTTAAAAACATAATATTTTAAATATTTGATAAAAATTACTGAATAGTTTTTTAAACAGCTTTTAATATTTGATTTTAACATTTTGTAACACATCTTAACATTTGATTATACTATTTCCTGATCATGGGTTTTACTTTTTTTTTATTAATAATTTATTTTTAATTAAACTTTATAGTTATTCTTATTAGTCGTAATAAGAATAACTATAAACTTATTAGTCTGTCAATTAATTTTTTTTTACCCGATATTAGTTTTTTCACCCGAGCAAAATACCCAAAAAATTAAAAACACCGGACTTTGATTACCATATTCGACTACTCAAATAAGACATATACAATATGGGAAAATATTATTCCTGATAAAGGAAGAATAAGGGTGTTCCACCCCCATTATTTTTTTAAAACAAATAACCACTCAGGTTGCTTATTTGAATTTAAAATACGAATAGTGTAGTGTAAAATTAAGAAAGAATAATTAGTTTCTTTATTCTTTTTTTCAGAGGCACTGAGGTTTTTTTTTATTCTTTTTTACAGAGGCACTGAGGTCAAGTAAAGAACAGTATTCTCGTGATGTTGCTGCTAGAGATGAAAAGTTGGATGCAGCTAAATCTGCTTTTTCTAAATTAGTATGTAATAATTTGTGTTTATATATATATATAATATATATATATATATATATATATATATATATATATATATCAAGCTTTCTCAGAAGACGCGCGCCGTCACACACCTTATATGAACACGCATTTAGTAATTTATTTAAAAATAAACCAGAAAAAATAAAAGCATAAAATTACTATGTATTTTTTTTTTAATTTAAAAGTATTTCACTACAAAGAATTCACTACAAAGTAAAAATCGAAGTTTTAAAGTAATTTAATTTAAGCTTAATTATTTTGAAACTTAGCTATTTAAAAATTTGAAACTTTGATATTTTCTAATGTCTGCAAAGCAAATAAAAAAAAAAATACTGTTAATAGAATTTGAGCATGATGCCAATGCCAAGTAGTAAAACCCTCTTCCAATGCCGATACAACAGTTGCTCCTCATAAATGACACACTATTAAAAAACAAAAATTGCTCCTCATAAAGCGGTATGTGTTAGAATATGGTTGAAAAAAGCTATGTTCAATTCGTAAAATATTTTTTTGTTTTTAATTTTTCAACGCTCAAGGGAGAGTGGGGTATTGGCAAATACCTATGCGGGAATGCGAATTAAAGAAACCAGTTACTATTGTGTCAGAATAAATGACAGAATTACTACATCAATGTGACAATATATGAAAAAATATAACCTTAAAATGCTTTTAAATTGAATTAAGTTTGAATTATTAATTGAGATACATCTAAATTATGTTAGTGCTTTTATTTTCTCTGGTTTATCCTTTATTTTATTATTCATTAAGCTTGTTTCTCTTTTCAGTTTATTTTTAATTTTCTCTTTAAATTGTTTTGATTTTTAAGGCGCATTTTTTAAAACACACAAATTGTCAGAAAAAAATATTGTATGCATAGTCATAAATAGAGTTATGCAATCGAAAATCTTTGTCATGTTATTATTATTATGTTATTTAGTTTATTTAGCATAAGTCTAGTGAAATTGTAGTTTTTTTCTTTATTATTTGGAATATTTCATCGCAGATTTATGTTTTTTAATACAATAGTTTCAATTTAATATCGTATGTTTTTTTAGATTAACTTTTAGTTACGCTGTAACTGACAGCATTTTTTGTTTGTTTGTTTGTTTGTTTACAATTTGACAATGGCTGTTTTGATGTAAAACAAACGCTTTATGTGTAAATTAAATGTTATATTTAAATTTTTTTTTTTAGTAGGTATGCGTTTTTTAAGATAAATTTAAACGTTTAAAACTATTTTTCCATGCCTTTCTAAAAATCTTTTAAAAGATTTTTTTTTATATTACTTTAAATTATGAATAAGTTAAATTAAGTCTTCCCATGATTTAATTGCTTTATTTTTTTTTTTTGTTTATTTTTTTACAAAGAATTGTTTAAAAGTTTTTTTTTTTAAACTTGACTAACTAATTAAAGCATGAAATGATTAAAAATTACAATTTTAAAAAGACTGTTATTTTTTAAAAAAATTTCTTTTGCAATTTTTTAAAAGAAATGTTTATACAACTAAAAAATATTATATTTTTTTGCTTTTGAATATCTTGTTTCACTTTTCAATAATTTAAATAAAATTTATTCATTTATTAAACAATCAATAGAAGTAATTTGTAAAAGTGTTTTGCATAAATTAAACTAATTGTTTTAAAAGATGAATTTTAAATTTTTTTCAAAAACAATTAAAGACATAACAAAAACTAGTTTTAACTTCGAGTTTTTTTGAGTCTTATTTTAAAGCTAATTTATTTTCTTTTTCATAAAGAATTGTTTTGTTCATTCTTTAGTTTTTTCATTTTTTTCCCTAGTTTAAGTTTAGCTTAACGTTTCTTTTTTCAGCAATTTTTTGTTTGTTTAAATCATCAAAACAATTGTGGTCAGGTTGAACCAAAAAAAATAATTTGCGTGGTCAGCAATAGCGTTCGATTGCATGCCATTTCTGTCCAAGCTTTATTTTGTAGAATACTCAATTATATATATATATATTATATATATATATATATATATATATATATATATATATATATATATATATATATATATATATATATATATATATATATATATATATATATATATATATATATATATATATATATATATATATATATAAATAAAGATTAGTAATTGTAAAACAGTTTCATATTAATAATGCTAATCAAAATAAGTTGGTTATAAATAAGTTATATGGGTAATGGCAGCATTAAGTTCATTATTGAAATATAGGATTATAACCATTACTCATTATCATATTACAGGTAAATTATTTGGTTGTTTGGTTGCATTTGATGCTTCTCTTGGCTGAACTTAGTATCGCCAGTAACTTAGTATCGGTGTTCAGATCACTGTACTGTAACACTATCAGATGAGAGATCTACAAAAAATGACACAAAACATTGGTCTGGCATCTTTCTCTTTAAGATCTTTTTTTTCCCACTGGATTTTATTTCTGACTTTTTACATTCAGAGTACATTCTTGTGTATCTAAATCTTCATATTTTCTCATATGTATACACGGCCCCTTATCAAATACCATATTTAAGAATTTACATTATACAAATAAAAATTCTAGTAACAAAGGGGATTACTTGAGGACTTTTTTTAGGCTATTTTTGTTCTTGTGTTCTTTTTGTTGTGACTTTCTGCAAAACATTGTTAAATTAATATTATTGACATGCATAAATCTGAAATTAAAATATCAAATATCCTGATTAGTATTTTAAAAATAATATATATAACAAAAAAGTAGTTATTTTCTTTTAGTATAAATTTATCATACAAAATCTCTTTACTATCTTATTGAACTGTATTTAACAACCATCCTATTTCTTTTTATAATTGATGTTTTTCTCATAGTTTTTTTCTTTTTTAATGTTTTAGTTTTTTTAAGTTTTAATGTTTTAGTTTTTTTACTGCTTCTGGTGTTTATTTTGATGTAATGCTGAGTGAGAAGGGGTTTACTGAGTAGGATCAGTGAGAAGGGATTGACTGAGTGGGATCAGTGAGAAGGGATTGACTGAGTGGGATCAGTGAGAAGGGATTGACTGAGTGGGATCAGTGAGAAGGGATTGGCTGAGTGGGATCAGTGAGAAGGGATTTGATTATGTGAAGTTTTCATCCAAATGATATTTTTTTTGCAAATTACATAATTTTAAGTGAAGCACGGAGTCTACAATTTTATTTTTTTTCTCTTTGTAGAATATATTAGTCTCATATCAAGTCTCATATCAAGTTTCACCTTAAATCTCATCTCAAAACAGAATTTAGCATCTAAATCAAATAAACGCTAACTTAATATTAACTTGCTGCAAATTATAGTTCTAATTGTGACTTTAAACATGCAGACACCTTATTGTCTGAAGAATTTTTCCCTACCTGTGCAAATTGAATTGAAAAACTTGATCTAAAAAGTGTTAAAAACAATTATTAAAAAAATGAATGATTTTCTTTGAATCATCTTAGAATTCTAATAAATTCTAATATTCAAATGGATAATTTTTTATATCTAAAAGGCATGGATTAATAATATTTTTCTAGGTTTCAAGCCATGTCTAGTATCATGAAAAAAAATCGTATTGTTTGCAGGTGTATTATGAAAAAAAAACTTAAATGAATATTTTTAAATTCATAGTAATTAATAATGAAGAGTAACTTGCCCTTTTTTAATGGCTGTAATATGTTTTATAAATATAATAAGTAAATACCACTCATAAACATTGAAATTAAGTTAAGATGGTTTGTGATTATTTTGAAAGTGGTTAATAGAAACTATGGTAGAAAATGTGGTGACTCTAATAGTATGAGAAATGTAAATCTTATTTGATAAGTAGAGACTTTCACGCAAAACGGACTCAGAGTAATTAAAAGATGATTATCAAGAGATAAAAAAAATATACAAACATTAAATCAGTAGACAGAGAATAGTGTGAATATAAACAAATGAGACAATAAATGCAATTTTCACTAATAGATTATAGAACCACTAAAAAATGTAATGTTAAAGAACAATATTGTTGACAAAATGACTAAAAAAGTGTTAGTGAAGACTGTATAGTGCAAACCACAACAAACTAACTTAGTGACGTCAGATCAAGAAAATTTGATAAAAAATAAAACCTAACAAGATCGTGATATGTCTAAACTTATCTAGTAGAATAGTTCACTAGATTCCAAACAAGAATACATTTGTTATAAAAAATAGGCTACATATACCCGTGTTATTCTGGTGTCAGGTGTGAATGACTCTGCATTTTTTGCGTATACATTATCTGGTTATTCATATCAGGGTTATCTCTTTGTTTTGAACACTTCGTTCTTGGTTTTAAATAATTTTATAGATGGTTATATTTTTTCCCTGTTTTTAGGTCTAGCCCGGGGGAGTGTGTATATGAAGTTTCTTGACTTACTTCGCATTATGGAAATGTTTTGCTCTCATTCATCAATTTTCGCCTTAGTATGGGATTTGAGTATCACCTTTGTGTGTTTTCATTGAGTATCACCTTTGTGTGTTTTCCAGTTTAGCATTATTATGATTACTCTTTAGTTAAACTCTATTTTTTGTTAAAAAAACATCTACAACTGCATACCTATATCTTCTGGTGGTGGTTTGTTTGTGTTATTAGGCTATTATCCTTCTCACAAATATATAGTCTTATTCACACATTATAACTCAAATCGGAAAGAATATACAAGGATAAGATCAAAAAAAGATTATGAACTAAACTATATAATAAAGAACAAATATTTGATATACTGATTTTAGAGATGGTTGATGTCTACAGTGTGATGATCTAGTGCATTAGTATGTTCTGTTTAGTCGTCTAGTGTGGTCTTGTTATGTTTTCGTTCACTTTCAAATAGGGTGAGTAGAAAGCTAAACACACTCACTTCTTGCACTTATGGGCTAACACATCAGAGCCAGACGTAAGACCTACAGAATGGATTTCAATTGGTTGAATGCATTCATTAGTCACTGTAGGCCACAAGCTATCACTCTTAACCAAAAGAGCTACAACCCCATACTGGTGTGGAATGAGCACATAGCACCTTTTAAAAATAACGTTGTGGAAAAAAAATAAATCTAAAAATAAAATAATACTAAAAATAGCAATTTTTTCTTATTTATATGCAATGTTTCAGTGCAATTTTTGAGTTTGCTTCGTGTAAGATTTGCGTGTTTCTTATTTTGAATGATTCAAAACATTAATGAAAAACTTTAACAAAAAAGTCTATTAAGTTTAGTTTTGGTAAAGCTGTTCATTAATGAATAGCTCTACCAAAACTAAACTTAATAGACTTTCTAATCTTAAATAATATTTAAAAAATTGAAAACATGTAAACAAACAGTTTTTACAAATAAAACAAATTAGTATTAGATTTTAAAAACTTAATAAAATAATTATTGAACTAAAATTTTAAGTAAAAAAACATGAGAACAAAAAACATTTGAAAAGTAATTTTTATTAACTTTTAAATAAATAAATAATTAATGAATTTTTTGATTAAATAATACTTGTAAAACTTAAAAAAACAAGTAATTACTATAAATAAATTATGAACTTATAATGAAAAAATGTTATATTTTTTTCATATATTTAATTTTGCATGCTGACACTTTAAGAGATTCATATCTGCGGTTGTATGTCATCATAAAGCAAAGATATGTATGTATGTATGTATATATGTATGTATGTATGTTTGTATGTATGTATGTATGTATGTATGTATGTATGTATGTATCTTTTTTTAAATTGTTATAAACAGTTTGAAATTTTTTTATTAAAACTATCTTAGGAAAGAGATTCAAAGTTATCATTAGATGAAGAAAAGAAACGATCTCAGCAACTGACAACTGCTAACAAAAATCTGGAAAGCAGAATTGCAGCTCTTTTAGCTGAATCAGATGAGGCTAATTATAGAGCAGAAGAACAGCAAAAAGTAATTCGAAAGTATCAAGTAAGCTAATATTTTGGAATGTTATATATTGTTGTCTGTCAGGTAATACCTTAAATATTGTTGTCTGTCTGGTAATTGTATGTTTCAGGTACCTTCTGTTAAGTATCTGTCTCAAAGTTAATGCTCATTAATGCACATCTTTTGGTAAAATACCAAAAAGACTAGTCTGTTGTATATTGTTTTAAGTTGTTTAAGGTTAATAAGTTTATCAGTTTAAACTTAAAAAAACTTGAAAAATTTGTTTTTTACACATAGTAGGTAATTACCGGACAGACAACGACACACACACACACACACACACACACACACACACTAGGGTGGTCCATAAAACAACTTTTTTGAGAAAAACCTGCTGACACCCCCTAAATGTGTTTTATCTAATGCAAAAACACTAGGTTTAAAATTTTTTTGAACAAAAATTATTTTTAGGGGTAGCTCAAGGCCCTCAAAAATTTGACGGGTCCCTAATATTTTGAAAAAAAAACTTTTTCTAAAGTATGTCAACCTGGTACTCAAAAGAAGCGATATTGTATAAAAACTTCAAAAATAATAATCATTTTACATAAAAAACATGCCTAAAAAAAATTATTCTCAAAAAACCTGAAAATATTGACTTTTTTTATTTTCAGCTTAAAAACAATAGTTTTTATGCATTTATACCTAAAAAAATTATTTTTATAAAAAATTATTATCATTTTTAAATTTTTTATATAATTTTGCTTATTTTGAGTACCAGGTTGACATACTTTAGAAAAAGTTTTTTTTTCAAAATATTAGGGACCCGTCAAATTTTTGAGGGCCTTGAGCTACCCCTAAAAATAATTTTTGTTCAAAAAAATTTTAAACCTAGTGTTTTTGCATTAGATAAAACACATTTAGGGGGTGTCAGCAGGTTTTTCTCAAAAAAGTTGTTTTATGGACCACCCTAACACACATATATATATATATATATTAATACATTCTCTCTAAATTATATTATTTAGAACACATGGTATTGTAGTACTATGTGTTTAACATTCAAGTTATTAAAGTTAATTACTTTGTGTTTAACATTATTGTAATCAAAGTTAATTACTTGTTCTAGAACTCCAACATCATTATCATTCAATATACATTTTTCACCTATTGTTATCACTCTCCATACTTATTAAATTTATTAGTTTATTAATTTTTGTTTCATTTAAATACTTGTTGAGTTTATTTGATTTTGATAACACTATTTTTATTTATATTTTTATTGACCATGTTGTTTTGATTAATTTGATGACTTTATTTTTGTAGTTTTTTGTCAAACTTTTATTTTGTTACTTGTTTTAATAGATTTCATTAAAGATAGCTTCTGTTGTTTTTCAATTAAACTCATTTGTATATATTTCTACTGTTAACATGCAATTGTTTACACTTGTTTAAGTTATTTGATACACCATATAACTGTGGATAACCTTAATATATATATATATATATATATATATATATATATATATATATATATATATATATATATATATATATATATATATATATATATATATATATATATATATATATATATATATATATATATATATATATATATATATAAATTGTTTCTGATGTTTTAAATTAGTATTTGTAAGATTATTAATTTTAATTTTAATGATGTATTTTATAATTATTTTTTAGTTAATTTTACTATCCTTTAACTGCAGTTTTGTTTTACTTTTTCATTTGCAATTTAAGGCTTAAAAACTTAAATTTGATATTTACTTATATTTCCATTTCAATTATTTTAAACAGATTTCACTTGAAATCATTTTTTTCAATATATAACTATATATTTTGTAGAGTCAGTTAAGTCAGTTGAAAGAAGTGCAAGCTGAGCTTGCTGAAATGAATGATGTGAAAAATAGCTTACTTAAAAAATCATTAGAAAATGATAAGAAAATAAAAAGCGTTGAAGCAGAAAATTCGACGTTGGTAGAGCAAGTACAGAATCTAGAACGACAAAAAAGAACTGTAAGTTTTGTTTCATTATATTCAGGTTTTGGAAGGAGTAAATAAATGCACTAACTTAGAATAGGCCATCGTAGATAGACTTGGCCAGCTACTCAGGCCTCCTGCCTTGATAGTCTTGCCCAAGTTTTTTTTCAAGAACCTAAAATTGTTATGTTTTGATGATAATTTTTGATATTTCCACTGAACCTTTATTTTGTTCTTACTTCATTCCAAAAAAGTTAAATTGTAAAAATTTGCATTATTTATTAATATTTCTCTTTGTTTTTTTGTCCACAAGCTCCAATCACTGCAATTCTTAGCAAAACATTCTCATTTGACATAAGCATGAACATACAAAGGTTTGGAGTTTGCACAATGCCTGTAAGTGTCAAAACTCAGACATCTAAAAGTCCAGTGTATAACTCTTACAAAATTAAAAGAGTATATATATATATATATATATATATATATATATATATATATATATATATATATATATATATATATATACATATATATATATATATAAATATATATATATATATATATATATATATATATATATATATATATATATATATATATATATATATATATATATATATATATATTATATGTATATACAGTGGATTGTCAAATTATTAGGGACAATTTACTTTCTAAGTAATATTAGGGATTTAAATGATTTTTTCGAATTTAAAAAAATTTTTTTTTGTTTTATTTTAGTTACTAGTATAACTATAATTGTTTTTAAGCTATGACAATTGTGTCAGTAACTATGTGTTTAAACTATAGTTTTATAAACTTCAAAGGTTGAAGAAGAATTAAAAGAAGTTAGAAGTGAAATGAATACATTGAAAAATCAGTATCAGTCAGCAATTACTGCAGAGAAAAAGAATTTTGAGGCTCGTTTATCAGAATTGCAGGATGAGCTGTCAGAAGAAAAATCTCTCAATAATGATAACGAGCAATATGTATGTTTCTTATTTTTATTTGCAATCTTATTTTTATTTGCCATCTTTAAGTCATCATTATTAATTAATTGTAATCACCAATCAGTTATAGGTAATAATTTTAACCGATTTAATAATCAATCAATTTTAATTTCAGATTAGAAAATTAACTAAAGATCTAGAAACAGCCACCAGCAAGCTTGCAGAACAAAAAGCCCTTGTTAAAGAAACTGAAGCAGCTAAAAGTCGATTAGAGCAAGTTAATAAAGAATTAGAAACAAGCAAAGCACTTCTTGATTCAACTTATCGTGAAAAGGTTCATATTTTTTATTTAGAAAATAAATTAAAAAAATTTTTTTTCTCAATATTTATTTCAATATTTATACAAAAAAAAATGCAAGAAAACTAGCAAAAAATAATTCAAAATTTATTTCAACTATTTAAAATGAAAAAATTGTTTTAAGAATTTTTTTTAAAACAAGAAAAATAAGCATTTAGTTAAACTGTTATTGTAATTAATTATTATTATTTTTATAACTTTTTTATTTTATTTTTTTATATCTAAGATATAAAAAAAAAAATATAAGATATAAAAAAAATAAAAAAAAATAACACTGATCAAAACATAATAATGATAAGAAGAACAACAAGATAATTTTGTTGTTCTTCTTATTATTATGTTTTGATCAGTGTTATTTTTTTTCTTTTTTTTTATATCTTATATATATTTTTTTTGATCAGTGTTATTTTCTTTTTATTTAAGTCATGAATTTTTCATTTGCATTTTGAATGCCATTAAAACTTTAATAACAAGGATAATGCACGTTAAAATAGCAGCCAAATGATAATAAATACATATTTGTTAAAAAGTGTTGAAATTCCTAACATTCCCTAAAATTGATAAACCTTTAATAAACTGGTTAAGATCTCAAATTTTGTTGTACTTTCTAAAAGAAAGTTTTTTTTACTTTTATCGTCTTAAGAAGGCTGAACACACATTCTTTGTTTTGAGAAAAACTTGTAGATGGGTCTAATATTTTTCACACCACTGCATGTACAGTGCACAATAGTAAAAGCTATATTCTATTTTATTTTTATTAGTCTTATGTTTCAACTAGATTATTGAAGGTATTGTTAAAAAAAAGGGAGAAAATCTAAAAAAAAAATTTTTCTAGATATCTATGCATCATATCCATTTATCTGATATCTTATCTTATTTAGATTTATACATTTAATGTAAAGTTGCTTTCTACTGATAAATTATTTTATTGGATTCCTGAAGAGTCAAAATTATGAAAAGAGTATTTTGTTTAAATCAAATATAGTTTATTGTCATTTATGAATTGATTTACATCAATTTTATTAATAGTAGTCCTAAGAATAGTAGCAGTATCTGAAGAAGATAAATAAACACGTTCTTCTACTTGGATATCAGAAAAATCACCCAAATAATAAGCCATTTTTTCAGATGTGGAGTGAACAGGAGTGTTTAAAATGAGTTCTAGTGTCAATCCCTTAAAAATAAATTTGAATTCATTTTTTTAATATTTTTTTCATATTGGAATTAAAATTCCAATATTTTCTATAAGAATCTGCTTTAACATGCACATTTTAAAATGGGTTAAATGTGTTTTGCAACTTGAGTATAAAAAATAAAAATTAATACATAAACTAATTGTTCAGATGTGCAGTGATTTAGAACCTTATCAAACAAGCACATAGTTTAAACTTTTTTGTACCAATTCTTATAACTTATAAATCAACAAATAATTGCAAAAATACATTTTTAACATTTTTACATTTTATTTTTGTTTGACTACCAAGCATCGTGATGAGTTTCTATAGCTTTTTTTCTACTAACAGAAAATTTTTTTTCATTTTAGACTTTTCTTTTTTGTACAATGTTTTATGTTTAGTTTTCTTTTCAATTTAACATTTTTATGGTTTTTTGTAAATTCAATTCACCTCCTTAAGACTCCAATGAACTTACTACATTCAAGGAATCAATTTTATTTAACTCATTTCCCTTAGACTCCAGAGAGCTTACTACATTCAAAAATCAATTTTTTTTTCTAACCCAATACTCTGAAACATAAACAACAACAAAAAAAGTTGAACAAAAAAATATGTTGTCTTATGCAGAAAAATTAGTTGCTTGCAGTGCTTACAAGGATTTTGAGTTTATTGCAACCTCAAACATCTTAATTGTGAGTGTTCTACCATCTAATTTTGAGTAATTATGTTCTACAGCTATTCTACTACCTAAGAAGCCTGTTGTCTAAGATGATAACTTGATCAAGTTTTTTTGTAATAGTTTATTTATAACACTTATTTTACAATAAACTATTTTATAAAACATTTCCTGATGTCATAATTTTATGAAACTTTTTTACAGTGTTAAATCATTTTTTACTCTCTAAAAATCTGTAGATAAAAACCAAATGAAACAAAAATGCTTTAAAAAAGTCAATATATTATAATTTAATAAAAAACATTGAGATTATTTTCAAATATTATTATTATAATCAGTGTTGATAAATAGTATAAGTCTTTTTGTCTCCACTTTTTTTTGTAACAGTTGGCAGCTGCCTCCCAATGAAATGTTCTGGCTTCTATGCCACTAGAGAGGAAATTAAGAAAAAATGATTCTTAGTCTCCAATAATTTATGCCTCTCAGCTGACTGTGTCCGCCAAATCGGAGGCAGAATTTTTGTCTCCCGTTGGTGGAAGTAATAAAAAAATATTTTCACATTTGATTCAAATTAACGAGCAATTTAAGTATTAATTAGAAAAAAATATTAAAAATTTTACATCAAAGTTTTTTTTATGATTTATTTCCAAATTTTTACCTATTTAATTAAAATTATACTTTAGTCAGAATAAAAATCCGAATGAAATCAAATAAAATCAAATAAATTCAATCAAAATAAAATAAAGTCCAATAAAACTATCAAATAAATTAGTAGTTTCATATTCAAAACAAATCTTAAAAATTGGAAATTTTATTTCCTTGCCTTAGGCGAGCAACATTATTTTGAAAAAAAGTTTATACTAAATAATTAAATTGTCAGTTTATGATCAAAATTTGATATTTTGTTGCCTGTCCATCATGTTTTTATTTTAGGACCATACAATAAAATCTCTAAAGGTTTCTCATTATTCCTTCTGACATGTCAAGGTTCTTAGCCATCTGCTGCATTGACTGTACTGAGTTCCTGGTTAGCCTGGATTTAACAGTCTTTACAACTTAAAGAGTTTATTTTGAATATGGTCTTCCACTTCCTTTTTTCTATTCAACATTTCCACACTTGATAAACCTTTTTTTCTAAGAACAGTGTTTTTGTGAACTCCAAGGGTCTTGGCAACCTACTTGGGCACCAAAAATTAAATAATCTCTTCGTTTTTGTTTCCTATTTAGAACTATGTTTAAATAATATTTTTTATTTTACCATTGAAATCTACACATCATAAGTTTCCTATATACCAAAAAACTTTAAATTTAAGTTTTTGGAGGGAAATTCTGCTTTCTTTTTTTTTTTTTTTTTTTTTTTTTTTTTTTGCATAATCATTTTTTAAAGAAAATAACAATTTATTGGTAAGAATTATAAGCTTAGACTTAATTAAAGTTTGAACATATCAATTTAATATTTACATTTGTTGAATCACAAAGTATTTACTTTTATTAAATCACAAGTTATCATTTATTAAATCAAAGAATATGTTAAGTTATCAGTACCTTTTGTTTTTAACTGTTATAATTAATAATTAATAATTTTTGTTTTTTAATTGTTATAATTTTGTTTTTGATTGTTTCTTAATAGTTATAAAATTTCTTAGATTAGTGATAAACCTGTGATTATATTTTTTTATTTGGTGTTTAGTTTAAATAATTTGGAGGGGATTGTTACTCAAGCTCTTACAACCTTCAAACTTTTACAAAAATTTCAAGTCACAAATTACTGAAGGGGGCTGTTAACAGTTTCTTTTTTTATCACAACAATCACATAACTTTAAGACAAAATGATGTAAAATTTAAAATAATAAAAACTAGTTGATGAATAAAATAAAGAAATTGTTTCAAATTACTTTTTCAAAATTTTTTTTGAACCCCCGTCTACAATAATCTACTATTTAAATTTACATCTTACATTTAATAAAATTGTGGTGTTATACGGTGTTTGTTTTGCTATAACCCTATTCTACTCCCCTCCTACTCCCCACCCCTCCTACTCCCACCTCCCTTCTACTCCCCATCCCATTGTCTCTTTTCTTTTGTTTGGAAAATCGTAAATTTACCCAGCAAGTTTTTTCTTTTTGGTCCCATTTTTAGTTTTTTTATGATATTCTTACTTTTTGTACAGCTACGAGAAAACGCAGTTACTTTAGAGCAAAGAATGGCTAAATTAGAATTGGCTTTAGAGAGTGAAGTCAAGGAAAGAGAGAGTTTAGTCAAGCAGCTTAAAAAGACAGAGAAAGATCTCGGAGATGTTGAAGCAGACTTGTTGGAAGCAAAGGATGGCGAGGATGCTGCTAAAAACCAGGTTTTTATATATTGTGTGTGTATATATATATATTGTGTGTGTATATATATATATATTGTGTGTGTATATATATATATATATATATATATATATATATATATATATATATATATATATATATATATATATATATATATATATATATATATATATATATATATATATATAATTTTTTATGGTAATTTTGATGCTGTGTTTTCTTATTTTATTTATCTAAAATCCTAATAATTAAGCGTACTTTTTTTTTTATTTCGCTATAAATCTGAAAAAAATATTTTTCTTCGAATAATTAGATAATATGAAAAAATAATAATATAAAAAACGAAAATAAAAAAATTTACGAAATACTTTTTGTTGCTTTCAGTTAGAAAAGGTTCTAAAAAAGTTTGAGAACTTGAGACGAGAAAATGCAGAACAAACTGATACTATTACCCGTCTTACTCAGGTCAAGCTTGCTTTACAGAGTGATGTTGAAGAAAAGGAAGAGCTATTGGACCAATTTAAAAAGGAATTAGTTAGAAAAGATGCGTATGTAAAATTTGTTTAAAGCATTTTGTTTTTTCGCCTTCTCTGCTTTTAAAATCCACCTATATTCTATCCACACACATTTTTGCAATCGCCTGAAGGCAATTTTTACTTATGAAATCGGCCCACTTGAATAAAATTTTAATTGCTAATATTGTCTTTTTTTTTTCCATAGTTATGGATCAAAGGCTTCATCCCGTTCTCGAAGTCGAATGGAGCGCGTTGACGATGATTATGACCTTGATGAGTAAAGACTTCTACTTAGTTAAGACAATTGCTTGAAGAACCAGTTTGTAGATAAAATAATGAACCAGAAGAATGTCACTTTGATGATAGTTTAGATGTTTGTATTTTAGGTTTTATATTGTTTTAGTAGAAAATTGTAAAATAAAAATAACCGCATTTTTAACGATCAAATTTGTGACGATTTTTTTTTTTTAATGTTTGTAATTATAGAGAAAATTCTTTGATAAGAAAAATTCTAAAATGAATGCGTTGATGATATTTACCTGGCCTATGTTAAAATAAATCTAAGAAAAATTACTAACCATAATTATATTCTATCCCTGGAAATAATAAAAACAAATTATCTATCAAAAGTTTAATGAAAAGTGCAGAGATTTAGCCAACAATATTTTTTTATCCTGTTTTAAATGCATAATTGCATAAATAAAATTTCAAGGCGAATAATTTAAAAAAATTTTTCTATCCACCAAAATATACTTTTTTGAACTGGCATTCTATTTTTTTGTGACTTTAGTAGAATAGAAGGCCGTTTATTTAAGTACACTGTGACAATGAGGAGGCTTACCTGAAGAAATCAAACTGCTTAAAAATTCAATTAAAAAGATAAATCATTTAGTAGGATAATCAATTTCAATATGATTAATTTAAAGAAATTTAATTTTACCCAAAGATCTGGCATTTCTTAATTAACTGTATATGAATCCACATTAGTGAGCGTTAAACTAACGTTATGCTCGTGGGTGTTAAATTAATTATGCTAAGCATAATTGTTAACATATAATAGTTCAGCTTCTCTAAATATCTTTTTAATAATTGACTCATTTTCTGCGATGAGCTCGGATTTTAATACACCCTTTAAGACAGTCTCATTCTCCATTCACTGGTGTCAATGCCAGGTTGACCATTTAAGATAAGGAATATTTTTTTTTTACCATGTATAGTTTTTTTATTTTCAGTTTGTAAGAGTGTTTGTACCAATTGCCATTGTGGAGAATATTTTAGACATGTTCAATAGTTTTGTACCTAGTTTGGTACCTCTTTTAACAATTGGTAGCATAGTTTTTTAAAAAAATTAAATTAAAATAGAAAATAAAACCTGTTTATAATTTCTTTAGAGAAAAATGTTTGAGCCCTAATAATTCACTTTATTAGTTTAACAACTGGTTTATCATTTTTTAATAAACAGTTTTAAATGTAGATAAAAAAAAATTATATGAAAACTTATATTTATTACAAAATAAAAATGACAAACAAAAACAAATTTTCATATGTGTGTTTCTAAATATATACATCCTCGATACCCACCACCTAATCTCCATATCCAAGGTACAGGATATGGAGATTAGGTGGTGGTACAAGGCAGGTACAAGATACAGGGTGCGTTGTCCAAAACACTTTGTAGTCTTGGTATTAATTTCTAACTGTAATTTTTTTATTTTTATTTTAATAAAGCAGCTAAAAATATAAAATTTTAAAATTCCCGGATGTTACTGTAGCTTGCAAAGTAAAATGTAACTTTAAACAAAAAATAATACATTAAACTAACGTAAAAAAAGTATAAATTGACTATTTTCATTAAAACAATGCAATATTCAATGCCACCAGTGTAAAAAGTATGTTCGGAGGTTACACTAGTGTTGCGAGACTCAAGCAATTTGCGAAGGAATTCATTGAAATGTACATGGTAAACCGTCCATTGTATTTACGACCATTCCATTAAGAGTTACATAGACCGTTCTTTAGGACAAGTCCATGGCTTAAACCAACAGCCACTTCTGCTATCATATAGCCGTAAGTTTTTGTAGCATTGGATAGACTTGTTACTGAATTTGGTATAACATAACCAACGTAGCTAGGTCCTGATTCTTTCCCCAAGTTATAGTGTTCAAATACAATTTTTCTTTAGTATTAATTATCATTCTCATTTTCTGTTAAAATTATTTTTTTGCATCAGCCGTTGAAGTAGAGACCTGTTAAATGATCATTATGATTGTTTAAACTCTCACTTCTAGGTTTTTACATGGTTCGGTACCTCTCTCTAAAATTTTTTTCTTATCAATCACTAAAAAAATGTATCCGATACAGTGACTCAACCTACGTCGTAAAAAACACTAGAAATTATGACTTCAACCGTCCTATTTGTAAGGTTTTCTTCGCATTCAAAAAGATGATGAAGTTGACGGTCCGGGACTATCTTTGCAGTCATCCGGTTTAAGTTCCTCATCCTAATCTATTGCCTAATAATTTTTTAAGAACGTTGATGCTGATTACGGACTATTACCATCAGGCTGCGATAATCAAAACTCAGTAGATTTAGAACTACGAAGGAATTCTTGCGTCTTCCTTTTAGCACGTACTTGGAGCTTTTTGGTAATTTTGCAAATCGAGTCATCTAATGCATATTAGGCGTTTTTTTCTCTGATCAGCAAAAAATGTCTATTTCTTAAAGAGGACATTGGATTTCTTTGGGCAAAGAACGCGTGATTCTTTAAACTTTAAACATGCTTTAGTTGCCATGCTTTTCTCTTTTCTTTCATAATCAGGTTTGATATCGATATTGGTTTGATATCGATATTGGTTTGATATCGATATTGGTTTGATATCGATATTGGTTTGATATCGATATTGGTTTGATATCGATATTGGTTTGATATCGATATTGGTTTGATATCGATATTGGTTTGATATCGATATTGGTTTGATATCGATATTGGTTTGATATCGATATTGGTTTGATATCGATATTGGTTTGATATCGATATTGGTTTGATATCGATATTGGTTTGATATCGATATTGGTTTGATATCGATATTGGTTTGATATCGATATTGGTTTGATATCGATATTGGTTTGATATCGATATTGGTTTGATATCGATATTGGTTTGATATCGATATTGGTTTGATATCGATATTGGTTTGATATCGATATTGGTTTGATATCGATATTGGTTTGATATCGATATTGGTTTTTTTATCATTAATGAATCAAAACCAGGAAAAACTTTTTTGAAACTGTCAGAATGGAAGTATGGAAGTATCAGAACAGAACATTTGTAGCTAACACAAATAAAATCTAGTATGGAAGAAAATGAAGGTTCTTTATTACCAGTTACTTCAGAGTTAAGACGTCGCCTTTTACAGCATGAAAATTAGAAATCTGGTTGTAAAATAGTTGTTGGAAAATCAGATGATAAAATAGTTGTTGAAATTAAGAAACTTATGTCAAATTTTCTAATCCAAAATAACTACATTGATACATGCACGGATCATAGGGACAAATGCACGAACATTTGCCAATCCACGGATCATAGAAAAAAAAATTAATTTTTAAACTTTAATTTTATAATGTATATACTCGTGCAAATATATTCGCGTAAAAAATATACTCGTGCAAATAAACTCGCGTAAAAGTCAAAAAGTTACTCTAGAGATATTAGAACAGATGAACTCGAAACAAAAATAAAAGTACTTATTCTAATGGAAATATGTACCCGGTTTAAAAATTATGTTTAAAAAGTTAACTTTTAAGAATCTAAAAGTGTAATGAAAAAAACAGCATATTTGGCAATTGTTGCGTAACTCAGGGTCCTTGTCAGAACAAACCATATTATCCGTGTGGCATCAAAATTTGCGCAATAGTTAATCCTACATAGGTGCAACTTATTTGCATTGCAAAGTGCTGTGACACTTTAGGCGCGGATCTAGGGTAAAGCCGTTGTGGCTAAGGCTACACCTTGAAATAATTAAAGAAATAAAAAATAATATAATATTCCAAAAAAATTTTCAAAGTCAAAATAATATTAATAATTACGAAGAGTTTATATTTTAATTGCTGTGTAAAGCCGGCTTTAAAAACGATTACTCTATATAAAACTATAAAAAATCAATTAAAAAAGACATTGATCATTGCACCATAGCCCCTTAAATACTTTTTCAGTAAGTTAGTAAATATAGCAAATATGTTTTGGAAGAATACTGTCCCAAATGCTAGAGACGTTTCTCACGTACAAAACATAAAATGTTGCGAAAAAAAATTGTTTACGAAACCAAATGATTCAATTATCTCACCAATTTAATTACATGCTCTGATATGGATTTTTTTATACCATCTGTTAAAATAGATAAAGGTTTAGTCGCTTTAAAGTACGTAAATTTTTTAACTATGTTTTCACAAACTATATTTATTATAAAAAGATAACATGCTTTTACTATGTAAACTATGTTTACTTACATACAACAGTTTCTGTGTTTATTATTATAAAATTCTTATAACATTTAACTATTACATTCTTATTTTATTCAATAGTTGAATTGTTTTGCCACTGAACTATATAAAAAATTTGTATTGCCATTTGCTGTAAAAGTAAGCAATTGAAATATTGCATTTTTATTCTTTTAAAAAAATTTTAATCTTTAGATTTAAGCTTCAATTAAAGAAGATTTTATGTCAGTAAGATCAACTGGTAATCTTAAAGCCTAAAATAATTTTATTTTTGATAACTAATTTATGACATTTATAATGTCTTTACGTACGAGAGAGCGAAAATAAAATTATTTTAGGCCGCTTATCTGTAGGATTACCAAATCAACTTATATTATTTTTCTGCATGAAGCCTAAATTTAAAGATTAAAAATTAAAAAAAAAACCTATAAATGCAATAATTTAATCGTTTTAATAATTTTAACATTATTAAAATATTATACTTTTATAACTTTTAAAAGAATTTATAGCCATTAAATTTAAAGAAAATTAATGAATTAAAATTAGAATTAAAATTACTATCAGATGATTTAACTAAAGATCTTACAAGTTGATTGATACTGTCAGAAGATTTAACTAAAGATCTTACAAGTTGATTGATTCTGTCAGAAGATTTAACTAAAGATCTTACAAGTTGATTGATTCTGTCAGAAGATTTAACTAAAGATCTTACAAGTTGATTTATACTATCAGATGATTTAACTAAAGATCTTACAAGTTTAGTAATCTTACAAATTATACTGTCAGAAGGTTTAACTATAACACAATAAATTCTCTTTTATAATATAACAGAGTCTTTAAAAAGTACAGTTGAAGGAAACTTTGTCGAACAACTTTATTTTGAAATTGAAATCTTAAAAGATCATTTAGTATGAGCCTCTAAAAATGTCGCATACATACCTAAAACCACAAAAAATCAACCTATAGAATATTATAAAACAACCTATTGTGGTAAGGGTGTTGAACAGATTCCTTATTCTG